ATAGATAGATAGATAGATAGATAGATAGATAGATAGATAGATAGATATAGATATTTTGATACCAAAAATATAGATATTTTGATACCAAAAATATAGATATTTTTTGATACCAACCTAGATTTTGGAGTCTTTTCCATTGTCATTCTTGTAGTTTTCCTCTCCCTAGATAAACTCTCCTTTGAATTGAGTTTGCATCCTGATGACTTCACGGACATGTCCTTGAGGTTTCTTTAGCAATAGTATGAAAGCAATTTTGCAGTGCTAATCTCCAGAATTAATTTTCTGTCATCACACTCTTAACCTCCAGCCCTGATCATCTTCCAATTAGATCCATCAAAGCAAATCAGTTAACGAAGGAATATCAGAACATATATCATGAACATAGTGTGTTGTCACACAGTGTACGTTTTTAGGTTTAGTTCCTACTGTTCTTATTCTTATGAGCCATTTTTTTGGTCTCATCATTGCCCCAGGTATAGAAAAAAAGTTTTTGAATATACCCAGTGCTTTTTTCCATTGGTCAGACTTTTATTTCACCAAAATTTGGTAAACTTTCTTTCTTACAATCTTACCTGTTGATAGGTCTCAGTTTTCGATAAGGGAATAGAGATCTCCAAAGCAAAACTTGGGGAAAAGACACTGCTTTCTAATTCACATGTTTAATAATGTGGCATAGTTTGTAATATTTATGCATCATTTCAGATGGCGGGCTTGCAGGTTGGTCGAAAAATTTATTCCATGAATGAGGATCTTGTGTTTCTGCGTTCATTCCAAGAGGTTGAGACCATCTTAAACCAGTCTTTCTGCTCTCGGCGGCCTCTTCGACTTCTTGTGGCCACCAAATCTAAAGAGTAAGATCCTAGAAAAATTCAACCATGAGATGATTTTTGTATATTCCAAGGGAGATTGTGAGAACATATTCTCTCCAGCATATTCCAAGGGAGATGGAGAGAACACATGTGGATATGGACACAATAGATTTATAATCTTGTGTCCCTGATTCAGAGAACAAATGTACCCATAAATCTGGATTCCAAAAGCATGACTCATAGTCTTCTGTTAACCATAAAATAGACTATACAAGGTTTATCCAATGAGTCTGACTTAATAGCTTAAACATACACTTGAAATTGAATTTGGGAAAACATATATTTAACAATAATGAAATAATTCTCTAGTGCAACATCTTTAGTGTATAGTTTTCTGATACCATGATCCTGATAATTAATACTTCTTTATTCTTTCATTTGACTTTTGATAGTCTGTTAATTTTGGTAGTCTCATTTATAATAAACAGCACACTAGGAGCTGTGACTGATTTTTGACTTTTTAGTCAGAGAATTCCCTGTAGAATATACTCCTAGATTTTCAGTGACATGGAATAACTCAAACAGAACATAATATCCATACTTTGCCAGTCAAGACTTTTTTCTTATATGTAATTGTCTTAATTTTTGGCAGGATTATCAAAATTCCAGATTCCAATGACAAGTTGTGTTTCCAGATATGCGGAGAAGCACCACCCTATGTCCATGCTGTAGGGAGAGGTAAGGAAAGAATATAGACATGTGTCTTGTTGATAACACTAACACTTGTTGAGAGGCTGTCATCTCAAAAATATTAACAAGGAAATATCTTTTTAAAAGCACAACATTTTACACTGTATTTTATATATCATGTAAATGCATTATCTATTTATCCTGTTATTGAGAAAATCTGTTGAGATTCTCCTGTCTGCCCTCTAAGGATCAGATGCAGCAGCTTTGGGGCTTCACCCAGGCCAGTGTGTCCTGAAAGTAAATGGAAATAATGTGATGAATGAAAATTACACTGAAGTTCTGGATCACTTTTCATCATACAGGAATAGGCAGCAGGAATTTCTGGTGAGTAAATAGGTGTGTGAAGGAAGGGATGGGTTTTCTTACAGTATGTTTTCTTACAATGTTTTGGGAAGGGAGAAGAAAAAAAATGTCTCGTGATGAAACTAATCTGCTAAATAAATGCTTTAATATCCTTTCTTCATCTGTTCAGAAGAAAAAAAAATACGTATATTTTTTTCAGTCGCAAGTATTTTGACAGATACAACAGATAACTTCCCTTTTAGTTTGCCAGGATAAACTTTGCTAACAAATCCCTATTTGTGCTCTTCCTCATAAATTACAAAAGGGAAGCTGTCTTCCAGTTGAGATCAACTCCTGACAATTTTCAAAGAAGATACAATATATACAGAGACTTTGATTCAGGAATGGTTTGCTATTCTCTTCTTCCAGGTGGTGCCATGAAGAATATTGGTTGTTTTGTGGGAAGGTGAAGCAAGACAACAAGGGAAAATGGGTACAAATGCAGGAGGCTTAACTTAGTTTCTGTAGGAGTCATATAAATCCATCTGAGTACTTTTTTAATATCATGTATCAATTTTAAATTTTAAATTGTAGAGAATACATGTACTGTAGCCCAGGGCTAAGCTCTTGGATTTGCTGTGTCCTTCGAGCCTGGTTGTTTTTCATTTGAAAGCTAAGTAGCATCATCAATGCAGCGGGAAGTGGAATTTGCTAATTGTTTATAATTTGGGAAAACTGTTGACATTGTAGGCTAGGCCAAGTCCAAAGGTGCAAGGAAGTTTTTGAAAGCTTAGTAGTCAGGCAATTCAGTCATCAGCAGACATTTAAGGGTAAACTGCATGTCTATAACTTTTTAGAAAAGGTAAAACCAAAAGTCAGAGAAGAAAACAAACAGCCCAGAGTAGCGAACATTCAGATACACAGGAAATAGTGAGAAAGAAAAGAAACAGCGTCCTAATCAAGGAGAAATCCATACATTGCAAATACACAGGTAATTCTCAGCTTACAATTATAATGAAACATCCATGGCCATAAGTGGTGATGGTCATAATTACAATTATATAAGACTGACCCACTTTTACAACCCTTTTTATGGTAGTCGTTAAGTGATAAGCCACAATTGAAAGAAAGCCAATATAGCAAATGTCAGCAAAAATGTGCGATGCTACAAATGGCTGTAAATGCAGGCTGGTTGCTGAATGCTCAACATGCAATCATTTGACTGTGTGTCTGAGGAGTAGCCATTGGAACTTTGGAATTGGGTCGTAAGATTGTTTTAACTTTAAACTGTCGCTAAGTGGCCAACTATAAGTTGAGAAGCATCTGTAAACAGCTAAGAAACTCCATTCTCCCATGTACTAGTCTCCTAATGAAACCTCTTGCAAGAAAACAACCAAGCTCTAAGAAGACAAAAATCTAGTCAGTATACAATGATAACAATAATCAGTGGTAAATCTTCTTTAAAGCCAGTGCTTGGTGAATTATTCAGTCTGATACTCTGTTATTCCTGCTTTTCTGGAAGGGTTTCTACCAGTGGGTTTACAGAACGCATGAAGATGCTGAAGAAGAGAGAGCTCTTCAGGCAGCTTCAAACTCATACCTGAATGGAAGTCATTCAGAAATGCTTAAAGGAAACCAGTCAACTGAAGAAAATTCAGATCTTGATCCCCTTAATGACAGCCAGCAGGAAGAAGGTATGGGGAAAACTTACTTTATGCTAATAGAGAAAATGATCCAGGTAGCTTTCTTTCCAAAAGGAAGAAGTTATTTTTGAATGATGAATTGTGTGTTTTACATTCAGAAGGTTTCCGTGTGGGTATTCCATTTCCTCCTAAAAAAAGAAAAGAGAGAAACAGAGAACTTCTAAACAACTCCAGAGAAAATAGGCTTTACTGACCAAAGTAGGCCCCAATGTAAAGTAGTTTCATATGCCTGAATTGTACTTCAGGGAATGGTGTTATGAGAAGAAGAAAAAAAAAACTACTGATGCAAGGAGAAAAACACAATTATATATAAGTGAACTGTTCCAGACACCTGTGGGTTATTTGGTAATCAAGTGCTGAAATTGTCTGCAAGGGACATTTTTTAAAAATATTTCCAGTCAATTCAGGACCTGTTCTGGAAGCAAATGGAGAGATATTTATCTTTTGCTGGTGTAACACAAGCCTCTTGCTTCTGTACAAATGTGAGACAGTAGCAAGAAATCAGATAGATCAATTGCACACTAGAGAAAAATTACTAATCTCCTGGAAGTGATGGTGCAGGATAATTGATTTGGTTGCTGCAATGCCAAGCCACAAACCAGCTAATTGCATAGTGTCTTGGCATGTCCACATCTGTCATAGTGAGCAATGTGGTTGTGGTATTTTTAAAAACAGAATTATCGTATTCATTGTGCCACGTAAGATGCCAGCTCAGGCCTGTCTTAGCTGGTTACCTAAATTGGAAGTGATATACTTGCAGCTGATCTGTGGGATTCTTAACAAGAATGTTGTCAAGAAAAGGGCTATAACTATGATCCAGATAAAAAGGCAAAAGTTTATTCAAGACATTTGATCCCCATTTGATATTTTGTCTACGTGGCTTCCCTCTGAAAGGAATTACACATTATACTACATTAGCTTCACTGAGAGCAAACTTTCTTATTTACTATAAAACCAAATGTTTACCAAGAAGAAATACGATCAATCCAATGTCACTCTTCATAGTTGGGAGGCAAAGTTTTAATTTGTGACAGAAGAGGAGGAAAATTTGAGATGAAACTTTTAAATTATATATGATAAAACCGCTGTGATTGGACTGGGCAATCCTAATAGCACATTTGGGAAAGCTGGGCTCAGATTGTTGCTGAGCACCACAGTTCTGTGAAAAATAAATTGCCACTTTCAGATGTTCCAAATGTTTACGCACCTTTTATCTCTGTGTGTTTCCCGAGCTTCATGTGAGTCTTACTGGTATATAAAGGGAGTCAAAGTCAGCAAGTAACATTGATATTTGATGGTTATGCCATTAAGATTTGTTCTTGTGTGTTTATCATAAATGAAGAGAGTAAATGAAGTATAACTAATAATATGCAATAAATAAATAAACTGCACCATTTATTCAATGTATATGCAATTTCTACAAATATGGACAGTTCCATTGTGTCAACAGGCTATACAGACAGTAGTCTCATCCCTGTTTCTATAGTATTGCAATAACTAAACTTTGATTTTCAGACTTGCCCCTTCAGACTTTTGATTCTCCTCTGACTATAAGAGAAGACACCCATCTTATAAGTCTAACAGTGGATAATGTCCATCTAGAACATGCTGTTGTTTATGAATACATCAGCACTGCTGGAATCAAATGTTTTGTCCTGGAGAAGATCATTGAACCGAAGGGGTCCTTCATCCTCACAGCAAAGGTTTGTATCACTGGGCATTATTTTCTATTTTCTCAATTCAGATTTCAGGTTTATCCTGTCTCTGGAGATTAAGGATGAGGAGTAATGTCATTTAAGTCAGGAGTAATGTTTTAATAAAGGTGGATTAAAATACAGATTTCACTGAATAGAATTTTTTATTGATGGTAGATATTTTGGTTATGGCTTTTAAGATTTCTCTCTCTGGAGTAAGAGCTTCCCAGAGCTAGAGAATAACCATGGAGAAGGTATACTAACTTGGTAAGAAAGCTATTCTATTTATATGGCTTTCTGCAGCTGAAAACTGGGTCCTGAAAATGCTGAGGTTTGCATGTTTTTACTATAACAATTGAATACACAATGATAATTATTAGGAGGTTTTGTGTTTTAATAGACAGTTGCATTAGCAATACAGCATGAAGAAGACATTAAACTTCATTTAAAAAATATATAGGACAGATTACAGCATTAATTGATAAAATATTTCCAAGTATCAAAAGTGAAATGCAAAGCAGAAGGCTATCATAAAAAAAATAAGTTAAAATTTATAGTTATAGGTTGAAATACTAGGCCTAAAACCAGTATGCTTAGAAGACTTTTTAGCAGTCCAAACAGAAAAATTAAAATTTCAACTTAACAGTGCTTTCCTAAATAAAAATGGCTTCGTTTGATGAAAATATGCAATCAAGGAAATTGAAATTAAGGAATGGCTAATAGCTGCATTAACTAGGAGGAGGTTAAGATCAGTGCATTAAGGGCAGTGGGTTGAAGAAAACAGCCTTGGAGAAGGCTGGAAGGTTGGAATAAGGTTGGAATAAGCTTTTAGTGGATTGGTAGTTACATTTGCTGTATAGTATTTCATACCGACTCTCAAATCAAAACAGAAGAGTACTAAAAATCAAAATGTACATTTATTTTTCTTTTTAAAAAACAACCCCCCTTCTGTGTTTGATTTAGTAAAATCTAATTTTGAATGCAGGGACTGTGTTACTTTCATTGATATGCTTCGGTAACCTTTTCTGGCTTAAGAGTGAAGCATATTAAAATAGGAGGAGGAGTTACAAATTTAAGTATTTGCAATTAGTGCAATTTCAACAGAAATATGTGTAGAGCAGTAAACGTATTTAGTACTAACAAGTAGGTGCTCTCACTGCGTATTTAAAATGTTGTTGCTCAGTTGGTGTAGTGTTTTTTTTTAATTTTAGGGGAGATGTACAAATGTGATGGGAAGCAATGCTTGCAGCAATAATCTTTAATAATCTGTAATAATCTTTCTGTATATTTATGGCCTAATTGCAAAAGTAACTAGTGATATATTTGTAGAGTATTGTTAGACTTTCTTTTATCATAAAGGAGTTCTAGTGTTAATAAAGACTTCTAGGGAAATAGTCAGATCTGATGGGAAATAATGGAAAGGGGAAATTGCTTTTCCTGTCATCACAGTTTCCATGTTACACTTGTGATCATCAAGAGGCAATTGGAACATTTAAAACTTCTATTAAAAGTCACCCATCAGCAACAAGTCTGTTTAGTTATTTAATTAATATCTTTCTGTACTATTTCCCATTATTGTAACTCTCAAAGTAGATTACAACAATTAAAACAACAATTACAATAAATATAAACTATTACAGACATGAGATTCTCTTAAAAAGGTGGAAAAGGAAAAGGAAAGAAAAACCATTCATGCGACATGCATATAGATGCTCAAAAAGATTTTGTTAACAGACATCTCACAAGGGGTTGGATGGCATTACAGAGGAAACCTGCCTATTTGAAACTGCAAAAGGATTCTCTGTCCAAGCAGATAAGAGTTTTTAATAAGATGAGACACTGCTTAAATTTATTGATTTATTTATTAAATTTATCTGCCATCCATCTCACAGTTGCAACGACTCTGAGTGGCTTAGAAAATAATAATATAAAATCTTCATTTTTTTAAAAAAAAATAGAGACTAATAACCAAGAGGATAGATGACACAGAGGTTGGGTATCTTCTCTGTACCCCATCAGCATCCCAGGTCCACCACCTCCACCTGGGCATAGAGTACCTCTATTAGAGCCCCCAGGCTATCCGGCAGAGCCAAGTTTAACACATCTCAAAGGCCAGGAGGATAGGGCTCAACTCATAGAGTTCATAGAAGAGTTCATAGAATAACAGAGTTGGAAGGGACCTTGGAGGTCATCTAGTGAGTCCAACCCCCCTGCTCGAGCAGGAGAGTCTATTCCAGATATTATCCTCTATCTAGGATCGAACTCACAGCCTCCTGATTGTGAGGCGAGAGTTCCACCTCTAGTCCACCGGGGTTGTTTTGCCTCATTTCCAGTAGCAGAATATTCCAAAGAGTGGGGGGGTCACAGCCACACAAAAATTCTTTGGCGAACAGAATCTGAAGTAGCTTCTTCCTGGAACAAGTAGGATAAGCTAATGAGAGGGTTCTTCTGATATTCTGGACTCATGCCATTTATTTTAAGAAAGTAGGATCTTTGGGGAACAACCATATCAGTGGTGGGATTCAAAATTTTTTACTACTAGTTCTGTAGGTGTGGCTTGGTGGGCATGGCAGGGGAAGGATACTGTAAAATCTCCAGTCAGAGGGGCTATTTGCTGGTTCTCTGAACTACTCAAAATTTCTGCTACCGATTCTCCATAATTGGTCAGAGCCTGCTGAATACTACCTCTGAACCATATCATGGGGCACCTAGTTTGGGAACAATGCATTCCCCTGAAGTCTATACTCCAGTAGAAATATTAGCAAAAGCAGTTTTTTTTAATGGTTCACAGGATGAGGAACTGTATTTACCTGATATGCTTTCTTTAGAAAGATGTCATTTTGTTGACATTCCAGTGCTATATGTCCTTAGCAATATGTGTCACAATAATCCAAATGAGGATATCTATATATTTTTCCTGGTTTAGATATTGGAGGCTTTTGCAACAGATGACAGCAATTTTGTGAAGAATTGCAGGAGGCTCATGTCCCTCAGCAATGCAGTGGTCACCATGCCACAATATGAGTTCCGACATATTTGTGACACAAAGCTAGAAAGCATCAGCAGAAGAATTGCCAGTTATCAAGAGGTAGGATAATAATGCACAATCTTATGTGCCAAACAGCACAGTGATGACTTCAACTAGTATGCTTTCAGGACCTTAACAACAAGGTTTATGAGGGTAGGTGTGTACATATTCAATTACATATTTTCAATTTTCAGTGGTGGGTTTATTGATTTTGTTGAGCAGGCAAATTCATAGTAGCATCTCATTATAAAATACCCACATCCATACATTGAGCAGTATACATATTCAATTGCAAAATTGAACTGCCTATTAATTAGATATGTTTAGTTCCTAACTACTTTCTCCATCCAATAGGTGATTATTGACATTTAGCTATGTTTTTAAAAGGCTGCTGTTACACAGCTAAATCTATCTATTTTTTCTTTCTTTTAAGTGATCTTCTCAATAACATTGATTTGCAGATCAATATTCTGTCACAGCTGGTTTTGTTCATATTCATGTTCTCCCCCTGGAATGTATGAATATTTTGATTGTTACTTATGCAACATGGATTTATGTAGTTGTATTCCCCCCACCCCTTTGGATCTTTCTAATTATTGAAAAAGGGCCATGGAACATAATTACTCTGGTGGGTGAAATGACTGTAGAAGAAAAGAAGATCTCCGGTACATGTTACTTTATGAATTTATGTGCTCATAATAGTGGTGTAAACCTCTTTTTTCTTGCTCTAGTTTGCAGATGAGTTGAAAACGAAAGTCAGCCCATCTTTCAAACGAGCCACAACAGAGCTTCACCCCTTGTGCAGCATGGATTTCTGCCCTACCAACTGCCACATTAATCTCATGGAAGTGTCATACCCCAAAAACATTACCTCAACGGGAAGGTCATTCAGCATTCGCATTGGGCGGAAGCCTTCCATTATTGGCCTTGATCCAGAACAAGGTGTTTAATAACAATAAAACCTGCAGTACTGTATCTTGCCCTGTTGTGAAATGATTGACTGGAATTAAAATTGCATTAAAAAATAGTTCTTCTACAATGTCAGACAGGCTTTGAAGTTTACATCAGAATATTTAACTATCATAGCAAGTCCATAGGCAGTCCAGAGATAATTTATGGAGAGGGGGTGAGCATAGTTACACATGACAATAGCTAGAATGGAACAGATTTTCTCTATTTTCATTTGGAAGGAATGGTTTCCTTACCTTAAAAGATACTGAATGACTAAAGAGATCCATCCTTGTGCATATCTCTTATGGCTACCACGCTTGGAACTTGTAAGCCAACAATTAAATACCGTAAATTCATCTTTAATTGCTGTTTTCTAATGTATTTTTCTGAGAAATTTCCTGATGATGCAAAAGTTACTGAAATACTGGCACTTGAGAAGGGAAGTTCATTGATCTAATTAACTGTTAAGGGAGCACTGATAAGCTTTCATATATCTATTAGCTTTCTATTAGTGTCAGCTATGTCCATATCACATATAAAATTCTGATGCTCTTGATGATTTCAAATAATTTACTGAGTCTTCAGAGGTTCTTTAATGATTAGATAGAAAAAGTACAACGTAACTATTTCTCTGTTTCTAAATTATATTCATCAATCAATCTTGTTATTTGCCTTTATTATTTCACAATTGGTTTGACATAAATTATATAGAAAGCTGCTGTATACCAGACAGTCTTTTGACTCAGATTGGCAACAGACCTTTAGTATTTTAGGGATGCTTTCAGATTTTTTTTTGCATGCAAAACATCTTTCACTTTTTCATCTTTAATATAGTAAATAGTAACGTCTCAAGGAACTTCCTGTGTTCTTCTGGTGCAAAGTATTTTTAATGGTCTATTTCCAACAGTCTGTACCCACACTCACCTGTAACCTTAAATCTTAACTAATTATTTAAGAATTCCATCAAGCATGCTCAATTTTATTGCATTTTATTGTGCATTAAAAACAACCAATTTAATAATAAGGCATTGTTGCTCAGCATATTTGGGGAAAAAAACAACAGTTTATTTAGCATATTAAAATAACTTAAATGCTCATCTTGAAAAAGCAGTGGCTTTAGCTTAAACAGTTTTTTAATGTTTAACAGGAACCTTAAATCCCGTCTCATACACTCAGCATTGCATCACAACTATGGCTGCACCGTCATGGAGGTGTTTGACTCCAGAAAATGAAGATCTCAACCCACATGGACAGTATGATGGTTACTGTGGGCAAGAGAATGGAGGAATCGCTCAGGAAGATAGAGGTCTTGCTTTTCTGTTGAAACAAGAAGATCGGGAGATACAGGACTCCTACTTACAGCTCTTCAACAAGCTAGATGTAGCAGTTAAGGAAATGAAGCAATATGTCCTTCAGATACATAAGTAAGTTGGTTAGTGGGGTGTGGGTTGTTTTTTTTTTAATAGGGATACAGGTAGTCTTCAACTTAGGACCACAATTGAGACCAGAATTTCCACTGCTAAGCAAGGTAGCAGTGAAATGAGTTCTGTCCAATTTTACAACCTTGTTTTACCCTGCTTATTAAGAGAATCACTGAAGTTGTTAAGTGAATCATATGGTTTTTAAGTGAATCCTACTTCTCCCTTTGACTTTGCTTGTCGGAAGATGACGGGAAAGATTGCAGATGCCAATCACACGACTCTGGGATGCTGCCACCATTACAAATACGTTGCCAAGCATCCAAAGTTTGATCATGTGACGGTGGGGATGCTGCAACTGTCGTTAGCATGAAGACTGGTTGTAAGCCACTTTTTCAGTGCTGTCATAACTTAAATAGTTGGAAACCAATAACTACCTGCATATATATTGGTTTTATTGCCAGGTTGTAAGTTGCCTAGAGCTTAGTTTTAAATTGGGTATTTAAATTGCTGTACAAATGTTTTAAATACAATAAAAATAAAACGGTTTGCTTTTCATTTGATTTCTGACTCTAGGCAGGTCACAGAAATTAAATGACTTGGCAACATAATCTGTGATGGAGCCTGCCCATCACAGTCATAAGTCATGACTGACGCAATTTTATGACCTGTTTTACAGTGGTTGTTAAGCGAGGTAGCCATAAAGCAACTGCCACTATCATTAAGGAAACCGATGGTTCACTATGGGCACAGTTTTGGTGGAAATAAGTGCCAGGTTTGTGCAAAACCATCACAAAATACAGTCATATAACACTGGGATGAAAGTCTATAGAGATTCTCAGTCATCCAAGTCAAGTGCTTTTTCAGAAGGAAACTGGGCTATCTTGTTTTTTTCTTTTGAAGACATTTCACTTCTCATCCAAGAAGCTTCTTCAGCTCTGACAGGACAATGGGGAATGGAAGGATTTATATTCCTTGCAGACAGCTGGTCACTTGCATCCTTTTAGAGGGTCGTTGAAGCACTTGGAGGTTTATCTGTGTCCTTGGGGTCACCTGAGTAGTGCTGTGAGAACCTCTACTTTTAGCTTTTAATATAGACTTTTAGCTATACCATTTGGGATGAGCACCCTTTGAATGGTGTGGGAGTAGGAATGAATTTCCAGAGGAAAAATTGCAGACTACAGGAACCAGGAGCACCACTCAGGTGACCCTGAGGACACAGAGAAACCTCCAAGCGCTTCAGTGACCCTCTAAAATGATTCAGTGACCAGCTGTCTGCAAGGAATATAAATCCTTCCATTCCCCACTCTCCTGTCAGAGCTAAAGAAGCTTCTTGGATGAAAATCAAAACGTCTTCAAAAGAAAAAACAAGAAAGTCCAGTTGCCTACTGAAAAAGCCCCTTTGGGATGCTGCAACAGCAGTAAATATGGCATTGTTACCAAGCGCCCAAAATTTGGTCACCTGACTTCAGGGGATGCCTAACCATTGGAACTTCCAATCTGGGTTATAAGTAGCCTCAAGTTGGTCCATCATAACTTTGAACAGTTGCCAAGCAACCACTCATAATTCGAGGACTAGCTGTATTTGATTGTCAGTAACAATTCTGAGAAATTCAATGCACATTCATGCAGAATTAGATACTTTAAGACAATTTTAATTATATCAACCTGCAAGGATGCCGTCATTTTGTTTATTCCATGCAAAAGTGAGGTTTTGCTTATGTAATTTATTTGGGTGGCTAAATCTTACATGCTTCACAAATATTTTGCAGAGATTAAAATGTATTCTTATTTCTGTGTACCTGTTATAAGCAAAAGAAAAGAGGTAATCCTCGACTTACAACAGTTCATTTAGTGAAAGTTACAATGGCACTGAAAAAAGTGACTTATGGCCATTGCACCATCCCCATGTTCACATGATTAAAATTCAGATGTTTGGCAACTGGTTCATATTTACGACAGTGGCAGTGTACTAAGGTCATGTGAATAGCTTTTAGGACCTTCTGACAAGCAAAATCAATGGGAAATCCAGATTAACTTAACAACCACGTTACTAACTTAACAAATGCAACGATTCACTTAACAACTGTGGCAAAAAAGTCGTAAAATAGAGCAAACTCACTTAACAAATGTTTCACTTAGCAACATAAATTTTGCTCTCCACTAAGGTCGTCACTCAAGGGACTACCTGTGTTTTGATGTGACTTTTTCTCCTCCCTGAATTCTTTTACAAAATTGTTTCACTTAATGGAGTTCAGGTGTATCATTTGTCCTGCCTTTCTCTCCAAAACAGGATTTTCTCCAGTATCACTTGTACAGTCTTTTTTCCATAACACTTCCTCCATGTATTTCAAGGTGATAAATTTAGATTATAATTGAGTTATAATTCATAAAGACTCGCAAAGGTTAAGCTCAACATTCTTATAGATTGCCTCCTTGCAAGGCTGTAGCATGGTATCTAAAAGCTACCAGTATCAAAATGCTGACTGCAACAATTAAAACATAATTTATTAAATACTAGGACAAATAAGGTCGCCACCTTCATAGTTAAAATGAATAAACGCACAGTTGACTATCTCAGGAGGGTCATTTCAGGATCATAATGCTTTCACTAAGTCCTAGCTTCAGTCAGCACTTTAGTGCTGTTTTTTTTTTTTAAATGAAGCGCATATGGGACTTTACAAAACTCCATGAGCCTATGTAGCTTTGCAAAATAACAGTGTCTCTCCTGGACATAGGTTTTACCTTTCTAATCATAACATTTTCTATACTTTCAGGCTTTTGTCGACTATCACAGAACCAACAGCAGAAGAATTATGTGAGCCTCCTTCCACAGAGGAGATATCCTCCACTTCTTTGGTTGCAGATGAAAGTGACATTGACAAAGCAGAGCATGGCATGAAGAAGGTGTGCTTCAAAGTATCTGAAGAAGACCAGGAAGACTCTGGGCATGATACAATAAGTTTCAGAGATTCCTACAGGTAAGTCCTGTGAAACTGTCTGCTTGGAAGGGAACCAAATGATATGTAGAAGAAAATGAAGGGCAGCTAAGAAAGGTTGAAACTTCTGACAACTATATTCAGGCATTATGCATTATGGACTCTGCATGTAAGGTACACATAATTGCTTAAAAGTACATATTTGTGTTTTTGTGCCTTTTGAGCTTTGTTAGAAAATGCCCTGTATGAGTGGTACAGAAAGTCCTTTTAGCATCTACTATGTCTCTTATTGTCATGGAGGAATTCATACACACATACATACATAAAATCTGCTCAAGTTTTGAACACAAAGGAACACCTCATGTCTATTCTATAAGCCAGTGGTCCCCAAACTTTCTGGTTCTGTGGACCGGCGATGGTGGCAGTGGGGGAGAGGATGGTTTTACGCACATATCTGCCACTTAGATAAATGGAGCTTTGCTCATCTACCACTTATGCCATGGCCCAGTACCAGGCTGTGGACTGGGGGTTGGGGACCTCAGCTATAAGCAAAAAGAAGAGGAATGAAGTTTAAGGTTCACTGTTCTTTAAATTCATCAAGTGTGACCATTTCTATATTGTAAGAGTTTATGTATCATTACATATAGTTTTTTCCACACAATATTCATGATTCTTCGAGATTTCTGCAGTATTTCTTCTGATACAGAGTGCATGTAATATCCCTAGGCAAAGTTAGTTTGATTTTCTCAGGAACTTTTTTTAGTCTTATTCTCCTTAGGCCGAAAGGCATAGCTTTTTGTCTTGTCAATTCCTGGAAAAGCACTGATTGCCTAAAATCAACTACTAGATAAATACCTTGTATATTTTGATTCAGTATATAAATTCATAGGAACACTATTTCTATAGAATGAGGACTTGAAAGTTTTGCAGAGTACCATAGAACATTTGTGGTATGTTTGACCAGTCTGTAATTGTTGACAGTACGGCATGAATTTAAGTGTATCCTTTGCAAAGTGATCCATAATTAGACATGGTTCATATGTCTGTCACAGGATCAACTTACAACTTGGTTTCAAGGTTCAGGCAGGTCAGGTAAGGTCAGGAGGAAGAATTTCCCTCCCTTTTATCCAACAAAGTGAAACAGCTGGGTTTGTGGGTTTTCCAGAAGCTCAAGCCTTTCAGTCTGAAACCAGCCCAACAGCTGTTGTTTGCAGAACCGATGATTTGTTGTCTTATGTGTACAAACACAATCATCCACAGAAAACACAGACTAATTGGGCTTTCGAATAATGATTACGTCAATCACAAGAAGGGCTGTATGACTCAAAATGATAGGCACCAGTCTGAGACAGTTGGAAGTACACAGAACGAACCACAGCCCTGCTGCTTGGAAAAAAAAAACCTCACAACCGAAAATGGTAGCAATGGTATTTTGTATTTTACATCTTCTGTGAACAAAGTCTGGGTCATTCAAAGCATGAGCAGAGTAGAACAGAAGAAAATGTACTGTTTTGGAAAAAGCTGATTTCTTAGAGGTTTCTTAATTTTGTAATCCAGAACTCTGGGCGAAAAGACATTATAGAGTTGAAATGCCCTTCTTTTCAGAAGTCCACTTGTTCAGTTTCATTTCTCTGGAATACGTTACTACCATCAAAATTCTGCCCTTTTTCTTTTCCTTCTTTTTATGCAACAGCTCAAATAGTTGCTGCCCTGCTTAGAGGGAGAATAAGGGCTGTGCTAAATGTATTCATTTAAAACCTTTTCAAGCATGAAACTCAAATTGCACATCTGTATATATTATGCTTTAAGATGCTGGAGGGATATAAAACTAAATGTCTATGGAGATTCTCAGTCATTCAGGTCATGGTTGTCCCAAAGGTGCTTTTTCAAGAGGCAGATGGACTGTCTGGTTTTTCTTTGAAGACGTTTTGCTTCTCATCCAAGAAGCTTCTTCAGCTCTGACTAGATGGTGGGGAATGGAAGGTTATATACTATATACACATTCTTCCATTCCCCACCATCCAGTCAGAGCTGAAGAAGCTTATTGAATGAGAAGCAAAACGTCTTTAAATCTAACAATATATAAACGGTTCTTCTTTACAATGAGGAATCTTCCGCAGGTAGAACTACATAGTGTGAGTGGGTTAAAAACTTTCAAAAGACGACAGCCACAAGGACTTTGAAGATGTGTAGCAATAGCAAGCATGTGATCAACTGATTAAAGAATCTATACAGGACACCTAGTCACAGTTTCACTGTCCTGTTGTGAGATGTTGTTTTTCTATTTAAAGTCCAATAATTCTAAACGTACAACTACCCATAAAAATTAGAATATTTACATTTTGTGCAAAATTGTATTCCTTTGGTAAAATGTTTCTTCTTTTGGGCAGTGCCCAGCTGGCAGTCGTACAATGGGGAAGACTTGGGGAATGGCTCCGGTTTTGTGGTCCCCTAGATTTTGAGGAGTTGACATGTTTAACTCCTAACAGGTTTAGCACTTCCTGGACAGAATCGATGGATAGTTTGTTGATTGATTTGATTTGACTTATGTTGCCACCCAACACATATACATGTCAGTCTTGCCCGATAGACCAGACAGGAAACATGACCAGATAAGTTAATTCAACTTTACTGTAAAGCTTACAATTCTGAAAGTACAATTCTCCCACTATCTCATTTCTAGCCTAAGAAACTAGGGAGGATCCCTTCTGAATCTCTTGCCCAGCCCACCATCCAGCTATATAGGCTTTTCTGTCTCCAAGGGGGGGATGCTGCTGGTATAACAACCAGTTCAGTGATCGCGCCTAACGCGTGCTGTGCACGCATCAACATAATACAAAAGTCCTTACCTACTATGTTACTTCAGGGGAGTGACACAGCTGAGGAGCTGTGTCTGCTCTTCCGTGTTAATCAGCTGGGATGATAAAGGTCAATACTACCCAGGGGAAGGTGAGCGGGCCTACATGATCATTGCAGAGAGACAGTTTGGAGACAGCAAGGTCTGGTCTGGTCCCGAATTGGTCCGAACTGGAAGAATCCCACCCCTGGCTATCTCTTATCTTGACTGTTCCTTAGGAATCCTCTCCTCACCCCATCTCCCAGGGTCTTTCTCATATACCATACATATGTGACTCTAGGTGACTCACAATAAAAATAAATTTAAAAAACTAAATAAAGCATACAGAGTATAAAAAGTAAGACCCACAGCAGTTGGAATGATAAAATTATCATTAGCATAACCCGGAAACAGGCCCTCACACACATCTGGGCTCCCAGGTTCGGGCACAAGACCAAGTTCTTAAAAGCTTCCAAAGGATCAGCAGGGCTATGGCCAATCTGACCTCCAAAAGGAACACAGTTACACAGGATGGATGCCATGGATTTGAGTTTCCTTGATCAGGAGGCCTTGCAGGGTAACTCAGGCCTTGTCACTTCTCGTTTGAACTAATGCAATACCCTCTACGTGGAGATTGGTCCAAATGCAGCAAGACTTGCAGTTTTGTGCAGCTTGCCCATGTTACACTGCTGTTGTGTGTCCCTGATTTCTTTTGGAGTACAATGCAGGGTACTGGTTATTATCTTTAAAGCCCTGAATGGCATGGGGCCAAGTTATTTGAAGGACCGCCTCTTCCTGAAGACTTCTACCAAAGGTTGTTTTATATTAGTGTTTGTCAACCTCAGCCATTTTAATGCGGACTTCCTGGGGAATTCTGGGAGTTGAAGTCCATACCTCTTAAAATGGTCAACATTGAAAAACACCATTTTATATAATATACACAGTTTTATGTTTCAATTTTAAAAATAAGTGATAATGAAAAAGGCCACAAAGAGTAAAATAGTACAGCATTTCTTTTTTGCAAGGACATCACATTCACGTGATTGTACAATAGTTTACAACAATAGTCCTTCTTGGCTAAGTAGAATAAGTTACACATTGATATTGCTTTCATATCATTTCATAATTTAGAGGTTCCCAAATATGGTCACTTTTTAAACTTGTTATGAGCATGACTATGCAGGTGGAGTGAATGTTTCTGCTGGCGAGGGAAATTTTGCTTTCGGTGAGCCAGAGCTAACATAAATGGCTCTGAAGTAGAAGCCAAGAGCTGTCAATGTCTGTGGGAGTTTACACAAATTTTTTTAACGTGTTTTGCATCTGCACATTAAATGGAGTGGGCCATAGCAATTCATTGTGAAATGTTATTTCTTTTCCTTTCTAAATTTAAACCACTGATGTCATGAGCTAAAGATTCCTAGTCATAGGAATTAATGGTATTTATTTCCTCTTAAGAGTTGATCATTGCACAAATAAAAGAGCACATTTTTGTGCTTTAAATCCCTAGTTTTGGTAGTCTAGGAATATTTCGCAAAACAGCAGCAAACTACCTAGCTGGCAGTGTACCTCCAGATTAAGATTCAATGCACTATGAATATGTGTCAGTACCGATTGAGTTTGATTTTATTCATTGTTTTATGGCTTTTAGTTCTGCATCATGATTTGGTTAATGCTTTCTACTACTGAGAATAATCTATCCTAGATTACTGAGATCAAAGCAAATTCCTCAGGGTGCCATTACCTTTCAGATTTGGACAGAAATGAAAGTGAAATAAAAAATATACTTGAGACATAAGCAGTTAAACATACTTCTTGCAGAATAACTGTTCAAGAATAAATTAAATATATTTTGATAGCTTTCAAATTGGAGAATAGATATGTGAAGTTTACAAGAATGAGTTAAAAAGAGAGTTTGTTGACAGGGTATATTATTACATCCCTTTATTTGTTGTATACATCTTTGGCTCTTTCTACCTATATGTTGTATCCTGTTTAGAAATGGGAGAAAGAGTTGTTTGGGGGAATGAAACATTATAAGTGGAAAGTTATTTTAAAAGAGAAGAGTCACCAACCCAAGAGACTTAAATGTTCAGTGAAGACGGCTTTCAGCTTTTTTGATTTCTGATTGGGTTGTGGGTGATCCATCATTGGAGGCTTTTGAGAAGAGACGCATATAGACTGGGTGAAACCAGGCTCAATAGTAGTAACTGTGACAGGGATCTTAGAGTCTTAGTGAACAACCAGCTAAATACCAGCAGCAGTGGGCAGCCGCCGCCAAAAAAGCTAATGCAATCCTAAATTGCATTAACAGAGGGATACAATCAAGATCAAGGGAGGTACTAATACCACTCTATAAAGTCCTAGTAAGACCACACCTAGACTACTGCATCCAGTTTTGGTCACCACATAATAAAAAATATGTTGAGACTCTAGAAAAAGTACAGAGAAGAGCAACCAGGATGATTAGGAGACTGGAGAATAAAACATATGAAGAACAGTTACAGGAACTGGGCTTGCCTAGTCTAGTAAAGAGAAGGACCAGGGGAGTCATAATAGCAGTCCCAGAGATCTACATGAACATGAAGTATGTGATATTATTCCTGTCTGTATCAGTGAAGACACCTAAGTGTAGTCATAAGCTTCCACTCATCAAGATGTATAGCTACATTTGGATTGGATTTGAGCATGGCTAATCTAGTGAAGAGAAGGACCAGGGGAGACATGATAGCAATCTTTCAATATTTGAGGGGCTGCCACAGAGAGGAAGGGGTCAAGCTATTTTCTAAAGGGCCTGTAGGCCAGACAAGGAATAATGGATGGAAACTGAACAAGGAGAGATTTAACCTGGAAATAAGGAGAAACTTTCTGACAGTGAGAACAATCAACCATTGGAACAGCTTGCCCTCGGAAGTTGTAGGAGCGCCATCACTTGAGACCTTCAAGAAGAGGTTGGACTGCCATTTGTCAGAAATGGTGTAGGGTCTCCCGCTTGGGCGGGGGGTTGGACTAGATGACCTATAAGGTTCCTTCCAACTCTGTATATCTGATTATCTGAGACTGGACAGCCACTTATTTGGAATGGTATAGGCCAGGGTCTCCTGCTTGAGCAGAGGGTTGGACTAGAAGACCTGCAAGGTCCCTTCCAACTCTGTTCTTCTGATATTTTTGGAATATACTGAGAAGTAAGTAAGTCCCACTGCATACGGCAAGAATTTTCATTCACATAAACAAGAATGAATGGCTTTTCAGATGAATGGTATTTCTATTATGTTGATCATATTAATTGGTTCTTATAGGACGTACTTTCCAAAGTTCATGAAGAACCATGACAGATTTAATATTGAATCTTTATTATCGTTAGCCATTCTCATCAAGAGTAATGTGTTAATTTTCTAATGCATCTTCATCAGTTGAAGACAAAGTATGAAAGATGAAAGTTCAATTAAAAAAAATAAATACTAAAGGCCAGTATTTTCTTCATGGAATTTTGTAAGCAGAGTCATAATTCTTGAAGATGGATAAAATAGAAATGAACGAGTTTTCTCTATGTTCTCTTATCTCTCCAAGCTATATATTGTATCCTTTTTCTTTCTTTCTAGTGAATGTAACAGCAATAGGGATTCAGTCCTTTCCTATACCAGTGTCCGGAGTAACAGCTCTTACTTAGGCAGTGATGAAATGGGATCAGGTAAGTAAATGCTGTATAGAGGTTTTCAACAAGGATTAAATGATACACCATCTTAAGTGTTTTCCAGATCGTGTACAATATTAATTTTAATCATTCCTGATTAGCAGATTCAGTAGTAAAAAAAGTAAAGAATTAAATGAATGTACTTAATATAGACTGCCAAGGAAATGCTGTGTTGGCATATTAGCACATTTAAGGCTCATACTGAGGATCTACAGCTTCCTATAATTCTCATGTATTTTATTTCTGCAAATGCATGAGCAATGTCATCAATTTCAAGGAGTCTTGCCACTGCAATTTGGCACATAGTTATTTATCCAGAGCTTGTGAAAAGGAGTTTCAGCAGCCCTATTAATTATAGGTGCTTTAACTAACTACAGGATATCTGATGAAATCTTCCTATTGTAGCTCATATAATTGATTCCGAAAACACTTTTAGAAATGGGGCAAAATTTTGTTTCCAATAAGTGCATTTTATTTTTTTTGCTTTTCAGTAAAAAGGAATCTAATAGACTTGCTTTGTTAGGAAGGGATCATGTCTAAGAAATCAGGGGAAGCTGGAGAATACATCAAAAGCTAGAAATTGGATAGGTAGATGGAAATATGAAGAGGAATGAACAAGGAGTGGAAAAAAGTCTAGAGGATGAAAGAGAAAGAAAGAATGTGAGCAAATTTAAAGATCAGTGTGTGTTTGTGAAGTTTAGCATGGGAATAAAAAAGTTTATGTATTTCATTTTAGGTGATGAACTTCCCAGTGATATGAGAATACCGTCAGACAAACAAGACAAGCTTCATGGCTGCCTTGAGCATCTTTTTAACCAGGTAAAGAGATTTTACCTTCTGATGGTTGTACAATGAATGTGTGGAGGTTGTATTAGCAGATTCTGAAGGAGGGTTAGATTAGATATTCTGTCATTCAGGGCACCAGCATATGGCTTTTAATATTAGTTGTCACTCCATTGGAATTTCATAGTCATGGCATGAAAACACTGTGTTTTTTCCTAATGTTTGTCACCAGGGCCTGACCTTCAGGGAAAACTTTTCTTTGGTTTTTGTAGCTAATAACTGTGGCAATCTTAATCAACATTTTAAAGTCAGTTAAACCAGCCATCTTCCACTTGCTAATTTCTGCCAACCATTGTTTGTTTATCAAATGTATTTGTCATCCATCTCATGATTCAGGTGAGAATTCTAGGGAAGTGAGATCTAAGCTAAAAGTTAATCAGGCAATAATTAAATGGCATACTAGACTGACTCTTCCTAGAACTCAGTGAGGTCACAGTCCAGAGCTTTTTGTTATGTTCCTCTTTCCTTTTATGTAAGAGAATAATGTATGGAAGAGATGTTATAGCTTACTTTCTGGGTTTGATCATGAACCTTTCATCACTTCTGGAGTTTGTTTGTTAGTGTGTGTGTGTGTGTGTGTGTGTGTATACACAGACACAGACACACACACACATATATATATATACACCGTGTTTCTCCAACAATACAACCTCCCCCAATAGGAAGACCCAGCATGTTTTCTAGGCATAAAATGAAATTAAGCCCCTTCCCCCAAATTTAGGCCTATTTTAAAACATGCAAAATGGGGGGAAGGGTGGGGGGACTTGCCGTTAGGAGCGCCCCACGGGCAGCAATTCCTCGCCACCAGCTGCTCCTAATGGGCGATCATGGCAGAGCGCAGAGGGAGGGAGTAGGGAGCTTTCTGCGCTTCGCCATGATCACCCGTTAGGAGCGGCTGGTGGCGAGGCTGCCCGCGGGGCGCTCTAGATGAGGATGCAAGGGGGGAATTAAGTCACCCCCGAAAAGATGGCCTAGCCTTTTTGGGGGGGCTCAAAAAAATATAGGATCCGGCCTTATTTTATGAGGAACATGGTATCAGCAGAAATTGAACTGTAAAATTGGATTCCTCCTATGCAAGTCAATTTTGTACTCAATTACTAATATCTCACCTGTGTAATGTAATATTAATGCATGATTGACTGGTTTTTTTGAATGATTGATGTTAATATGATAGAATTTTAATCCTTTACTTTAAATATTAGTAATAGTAATAATTTTATTCTGTGTTAGTAATTAATAAGATTATTGATTGATTAGAGAAGGACTGTTTTACTTCATTTTTATTTTTTTAATAGCATAGTTGGCTACTCTAGGATTTCTCAGGAAAGAAAATAGAATAGAAACATTGAATAATCACATCTTCTAACTTAGACTTTAAAAACTTAATCATGTAGTACATGCAGCAAATGTTCATCTCTCTAAATTAATAGTTCTTGGCTTGCCTTTGGGGGTTTACATAGACAGTTAATAAGTATTAGTTTCTACTACTACTTCACGTCCTATTGCTGTCCTAGTCTTCATTAGTAACAGTTTTGCTTGAAGGAATATCCCTGCTACTGTTTTCTCATTTTCAGACTAGAAACTCAGTACTTTTAATCTGCCCCAGGTTGCTTTTCAATCAAAGTACAATAGTTAAAATGTAATTACTAGAGGGTTTTTTTGCCAATAGGATTTTATCTCCAAAAAGGCCAGAAGAATATTAAAGACTGAGTAAATGTGCTTCTTTGCAGGTGGATGCTATCAATGTCCTTCTCAAAGGACCAGTAATAAGCAAAGCTTTTGAAGAAACCAAACATTTCCCAATAGATCACACTTTGCAAGGTAATCTTGCCTGTCACAGGAAAATTGGTGTTTCTTAAATAGCATGATATAATTTCTTCATTCCACGTCAATTGTTAAGAGACTGAGATAATTTCTCTTCTGTATAGTCTGTCTGTCTGGTTATCTCTCTCTCTCTCTCTCTTCCTCCGGTATATAAATTTCACTCAATCATTTTCAGAGCTATCTGTGTTACGTCCATACTAGGAAAGCAGGGGCACACAGCAGTCATTTCTCAGTTGAGCTTGCTATATTTACAAATGGCAAATTGCAGTATGCATTTATTTATTTGGTTTCACTTCAGAGGTTGCTTTTCAGAAGCATTGCCTCATCCTCCTGAATGATCAAACTAGTGATGATGTGAATGTTATTTTCCCCTCCTCCATTTCTTTACAGTCAGTGGTAGCACCTGGCTGAAAAATTCTAAGCAGAGTTTGGTCTGGTTAGTATTTGGATGGGGATTGGTAATTCGAATCCTATTTTATTGTACAGTGTACTAGCAAAGCAATGATTAATTCAGACTTTTATTTTTTTTAAATAATAATAATGATGAAACACAAAGAAGGTGAAAGCAATATTAAGAGGAGAATGTATAAACCAGATGAGCATGTTTAAAAAAAAATCACACAAAAGCTTTAGTCAGAAACTAACAGTATACTAGCAAATTATAGGAGAGTTGAATAAGCCAGTATTTATACACAGCTGGAAAGTAAAATAAGAGAGTTACATAGTTTGGAGACTGACAAAATCTCTTCTCAAATTAATTATGCTAAGCAAAGATATTACAAAGATAATAATAACAATTCTACAATGCTGGCAAATAAACTAAAAAAAAAGCTAAGGAAAAAAACAGTGCAATTAATGCAATTAAAGCGGCCAAATAATGACTAAAACTGAAGTTATTAGTAAAGAATTCAATTTTCTTTAAAGAGGTTTTAATATCAGAATTGCTAATATCAGAATTTTATTCAATACCTTGTATCAGGGAGACCTCTTACCAGAATCCTGGAAATAGCCCAAGTTGATACTAATTCTTAAACTGGGTAAAAATTCTCAAAAGTGAAATGGCATCTTACAGGCCCATTTTATTTCTTAATAAAGTCTATAAACTCTACACTAAAGTATTAGCTAATTGTTTAAAAGCGTTATAAGTAAAATGATTCATATAAATCATTCCATGTTTATTCCATTTTGAAATATATCTACCCCATCAGGAAATTATTTAATATTATTCAATTTAGTAAAATTAATAAATTTTCAGTACTATACATTCTTTAGATAGATTTAAACATTCAGTTCTTGTGTAGTAAATGGTGTCTGTCTTACCAAACGTTTTATATTAGAAAGCACAGTTTTATTGCATGATCATCAGAAACCAAAGAGATATTGTTGGACAACCTCTCCAATATTTGGAAAAGTAATTGGAAGTTCTATCCATGATAACTCTGGTTTGGGCTTTGTCTGCTGGGAGGATGGTAATGTTTGATCCTTCTTCAGGTTTTCAAAGACTGCTGTCCTCTTCTTTAAGTTGGTTCTGCTTTTGTGCTCTTGTGATCTGACCAAAACTCAAGCTTAAAAATAAGGAACTTATTTAATTTTGGCAAGTAAAATAGTAATTGTTCAGTATAGATAATGTATGTATAATCTATGTTGAGCAACTGAGTATGTCTAGATAATATAATGATCTATGCAATGATTCATAGAATAGAATAGAACAGAACAGAATAGAATTGTATCTTTGTTGTCACTTTAAATGCACACTAATTAGAACACATTAAAATGAAATTTTGCTGCATTCAGGTCTAAAAAGATAACCATTATGCATATACCCACATCCACATACATATATGACACAGAGAAACATCACAGTCTAGTTTGTAAGTATACATATACATGGCAAAAAAAAAAAAAGAATCCTGAGAGTTTACAACACAGATGGCATAAGGAACAAAGCTGTTACAAAATGTAGTAGTCCTGCTATGGATACTTCAAAACCTCCTCCCAGAGGGGAGCAACAGAAAAGGATTGTGAAGTGGGTGGGTGTATAGATAATACAACAACAGAGATTCTTCTAGAAGGCCTCTTTAGTAGGTTCATTAGAAAAAATTACTAAGTTAACATAATGAAATACCAGAAGCAGAAACCCCAGTTCAATCAAATTTGGATAGATTTTATAGTTCATCTCAATAGCAATAGAGTTTAATATGGTCATATATGTATCATAAATTTGTGTGTGGACAGACCCTTTCTCTTTTCTGTTTTTTAGTATTTTCTATAGTTTTCTCTTTGCATCTTGGATTTATGCTATTAATTAGTTGATAATATTTATTGTTTAATAAAATATTATCAAAACTGATGATTGATATTTTCTTTACAAAGAAATAAGCTTAGCAGAGATTGGCACAGGATGTAATTGGCTGCTCTTCTGAACCACTTTGGTACTGTATTATTGTCAGAACTGAAATCTTTTCTTGTTCTGCAGAATTTAAGCAGAAAGAAGAAACCACTATACGGAGTAGGAACAAGATTCAGATCAGCATACAGGAAGATCCCTGGAATCTCCCACTTCGCATTAAAAATCTTGTTGATACAATTCAGAAATACGTGGAAGGTTTGTGAATGGAAAGCTGGAAAAGAGCTGTTAAAAATTTCCATATTTTAAAGAAAGTAGTAGAGAAGGTTGGGATCAGAAGTAGTAGAGTAACTGAATAAATAATGGAGAATTTCTGTTAAGACTTTTGTAACTAGAAGATGAAGGTAGAGTGAATCTTAGGAAAAGAAAATGTAAGAAGTTGCCATAATCTGATTCAATATTATTTCTTATTCAAGTGATATGGGAATCAATGTTAGTATTTTTTGTTTGTTATACACTTATGGCTAAGTCTAGTACAAAACTGCAGTTCAGAACCATAGCATCATCTCTGTGAGATAGGTTGGACTAAAAGAGAGCAACTGGCAGATAGTTACTCAATGAGTATGACTAATGGAGGAATAAAACTAGGTTTCCATCCTTCTCATGCAACACCTACTCTATCCAAAAGTGCCTGAAGTTAAATATTCATATTCATAAGAATTTGCTAATTCCAGAAATGGATTCTACCACAGAGCTGTTCCCCCTTCATCTGTAAATTTTATGGATTTTGATGGTATCAGTCTTTTCAGTCTCTAGACATTAATAGTTTATGGTTTCCAGGGTTTTCATTATGCGTTTGAGTATAGAATAGTTTCCCTATGCTTGATTACAGTGTTCTCTTTCCAACACTACTTCAGCTCCAGCCTCTATCAATAAGATACTGAGCATGCCTTATCATTTCAGTTAAGGAAGACATGATTAAATTCTACTTTATTTTTCTTTTCTAGATGGAAAGAATCAGCTCCTGTTAGCTTTGCTGAAATGCACAGGTAAAGGAGCTTTTTGCTTACTCCTGACTTGTCTTCTGGTGCAGAGAACTTTCCCACAACTTCCTTTCATCCTTCTTGCTAGTAGACTCTATATCTCCTATGAATTCAATTACTTGTCATCTACCTTATGGCCTATGGTAGGCAACTCCTTGATGCCCATTGCAGCTGACCACCTGAACTGTATTAAGAGACAGACATGCAGTTTGAGGAATATTTTCATTCCATTTCAGGGATTAATCAGTAGTTCTCAACCTACAGTCCCCCGACTCCTGGGGGGTCACAATGTCATCCCAGGACGTCCGTGAAGGCTTGAAGAAATGTTATAATTTAAATCTTGAGTTAAGTCTTGGGAGAGGGGGAATGGCCATGACCTGTGGCCACAAAAGTTATTTAAAGGGGGTCTGTGGTAAAAAATAAAAAGGTTGAGAACCACTGTATTAAACCATTATTTTCAGGATTAGTGATTAATATGGACACCTCTATACAGCCTAATCCTCTTGCTGGTCTTGTGAAAAACTATGTGTTCCTCTGGGGTGAGGAAGGGGAAATAAACCCTTGGGACTGGGGGGCGGGGGGCACCTTTCTCCAAATATCATCAGAGTCATGTAAGCTGCACTGAATTAAAAAAGCCAGAACTTTGGGCATGAATCCTAACTACAGCAGTAGCCCTAGCCTGTTGATCCCTATTCTTGTCTTTCTTTTCTCTTCCAGATACAGAACTGCAAGTGAGACGAGATGTCATCTTCTGCCAGGCCCTGGTGGCAGCCGTTTGCACGTTTTCAGAGCAGTTATTGGGAGCACTCAACTATCGATACAATAACAATGGAGAGTATGAAGAAAGCAGTCGGGAAGCCAGTAAAAAGTGGCTGGAGCAGATAGCAGCCACAGGAGTGTTGCTCAACTACCAGTCCTCGCTGTCTCCCAGTGTGGTAAGGCCAGAAAACCATTTCCTCAAACACAGAAAACCAAAATAAGGAACTAGGCAGTTCTTTCATTACTCATCTTCTGACCTAAATATATTTTCAAAGGCTGGGAGAAATAAAACTGCTTTTGTTTGCAGTGTGGTAGCATTTTCATTTCAAACCCCATTCACGCCTTCCCAGCCTGGTTTCTGGGGTAGGTGAGATATATGTGCAAAATCTCAACCTAGTGAGTGTGATCCATTTTGTGGTAGCACCCTTTCAGCCATAGTGAACTGTGTAGCCAAACTTCAAGTTTTCCTACATGCAACATGTCATGGTTCTAAGTAATGGTCCCAATCAATTCAGGTTTCTGAGGCTGCAGCTTTTCTCAAAAATCCATCTTATTGGGTATATCATATTGGCACATTCATACGTGAATTCAACTCTAAATATTTCCAGAGTTTTCAGTATAATAAAAGAAATAGATACCACCCACCCCGCTAGTGTCACTGGTCATGCTGAGCAACCAGGTAGTTTTATTTATTTATTTATTTGATTTGATTTGTCAATCACTTTCCAGATAATAGGTATAAGAATAAACATGAGTATGAATACAGGAAATAGGTATGGATAAATGGGGACAATAGGACAGGGATGGTAGGCACGATTGTGCACTTATGTATGCCCCTTACAGACCTCTTAGCAATGGGGTGAGGTCAACAGTAGATAGTTTAAGGTTAAAGGAGTGAGGGTTTGAGGATGTAACAACAGAGTCAGGTAGTGCATTCCAGGCATTGACCACTCATGCTGAAGTCGTACTCTTTCTGCAATCAAGTTTGGAGCAGTTTACATTGAGTTTGTATCTGTTGTGTGCTTTTGTGTTGTTGTGATTGAAGCTGAAGCAGTCATTGACTGGTAGGACATTGTAGCAGATAATTTTGTGTACTACGCTGAAGTCCAACCGTAGGCGGCATAGTTCTAGGTTGTCCAATTATCTGCTACAAAATTTCAAGTCTGGTGGTGTAGGATATTCTGTTGCGAGCAGAGGAGTGTAGTACTCTTCTCATGAAATACTTCTGGACTCGCTCAATTGTATTAATGTCCGATTTACAGTGCGGATTTTAGATAGATGAGCTGTATTCAAATATTGGTCTAGCAAAGGTTTTGTATAAATGGCAGGCTACTCAGCTACTCCCTCTGGCCATTATGAGTTCTCATTGAAATAACCTTGATTCCCACAGGCCTTATTGCTGTTATGTCTGGCACCTGGGAGGAAATTATTCCACACCCTATAGTTCCCTCTCTCCCCCGCCATATGTGTGGCAACTAAGAAACAAAGTAAAAAGAATATGGCTTCAGCTAAAGTCATTTTGAGACTTGACACAACATAGGAGAAGCTACTTTGGGCAATAATGTGAAGGGTCTATGTATGTACATATTAGGATAATATATATAAGAAAAGAGAAGCTGGCCTTGTTTGTTGTGCAAGACACTTTCTGACAGAGTGGTGCAGTTTCACATTTGTTCTCTTAATAATTAAGAGAAAAATAATAAAGTGCAGTTTGTTGCTTGAATAAAATCTGTCAGGGAAGATATTTCTAATTGCTACTGGTGTTCATTGCAGACAATACTGAATAAGCAGACCAATAGTTTATTTCATCAAACAGTACAACAAATTCATCTATTCGGTCTTTTCTGCTCCTTTAAGTGACAAGCTGTACCTCACCATATTCTGTGTTCTACATAACCATATTAAATGTGCAAGAATTTTATCTCCTTGGCTTCTCGTAAAGCCAAGATAAAAGCAAGGAAAGTGCTGTAATAGCAACATTCATTGCTATTTTTTAAAAATTTAGCTACATGTTAGTGAGGCATAGAGTATTAGCTGTAAATGATAACTAATTGTGTGAAGTGTTGAAGTATTCTGTCCTCTGCTGGTGAGCAACTGTATCTTGCATTGCACTGAATATATTTGAAACATAGAAATGTACCAAATACGTATATAACAGCAATTTCTTTCATATTCATTTGAAAGTTCAAGTTATTGCTGATCACCACTTTTTAATATACCTTGTGAAAACCCATATGAGCAAGATATGAGACCTGTGATGGACAATGTGTGTTAAAGATATAAGACATATGGTGGACAGTGTATGGTAGAGTTGCAAGCGCACCTTTAAAAAAAAACAACAGTAAATTTCAGGGAATGAAGGATTTAGATATGGTCTTAGTCACAATCACAACCAGCGTTTGATGCCTGGGTTTGGGGAAGGCATCGTTTCTCCTTTTTATAATTCCAGTTCTTATGAAAAGAATCTTTTGTGTTCTTACAACTACAATAAAACACTGGATTTCAGTCATAAGTTACTATAGTCCTAAATTGTGTGACCAGACTCAATTTTATGACCCATTTTTACGATGATTGTTAAACAAAACCTCTGGTTGTTAAATGAACCACATGGTTGTTAAGCTAATTCAGCATATTCACTGGACATTTTTTTGTCATTTTCTCCCAGAAAACAGTAGACGCTAAATCATGATCATGTAATAAATCATGTGAGCATTGGAGGCTGTAAGCCCTTGAAATGTGATCACATAACTGCTGCACATATACATCTGCAGTCATAACTTTAAGAGGGTGGCATAAATAGCTTTTTTTTTAGTGCAATCATAATTTCAGACAGTCATTTAGTGACTGGTCATAAGTCGAGAACTACCTGAATCTGTCCTTACAGACTGTTCTTGCAGTCTAGTCACCCTTTTATCCTGTTTCTTCCTCTCTTAGAAAGAAGAGCGAACCATGCTGGAAGATATCCAGGCTACCCTTTCAGAGCTGGATAAAGTTGCCTTTTATTTCAAGCAGCTGGATGAGTGTTTTGTAGCAAGTAAGTTCAGTCACTAGATGCATTGACTCCCTTGAATTTTTCCTGTGACTCTGTATTTGTTCGAACAGTAAAACGATGCCTCCTGTTGTCTTAAATTCACAGAGACTGGAATTTCAATAGAAGCTGCAAAATCTCTTCTTTTCTAAGATGTACCTTTTGCAACTCTTACTTCAACAGAAGTTGCACATCCCTTATAGCAATAGCACTTAGACTTATATACCTCTTTATAGTGCTTCACAGCCCTCTCAAAGCAGTTTACAGAGTCAGCATATTGCCCCCAACAATTCGGGTCCAATTTGGGACCTCAGAAGGATGGAAGGCTGAGTCAACCTTGAGCCTGGTGGGATTCGACCTGCCAAATTGCAGTAGAAGTAGCTTACAGTACTGCACTCAAACCATTGCACCATTGAGGCTCATTAAGAGCAATCCCCACCTCTGGCCAAAAAAAAAAAAAAAGACAAAAACCTATGCTTGGATTTCATTCTTGCAGTTTCCTCATGTCGGTTATCATGTGTTATTGTTTCCCTCACAATTTGTGATGTCTTTTTTCTTGATTCCTCCAGATACTCATGTCTTTTATCATGTGGAGGGAAATCGGCAAGTTTTGAAAGTGACCTTATTCCTGGATAGTTACTACTTTTCTAAACTACCTACCCGATTTCAGAATGGAGGAAGTCTGAAATTGCACGCAGTTCTCTTTACAAAAGGTACAAGAGAAATAAATCCTTTCCTTCCTTCCTTCCTTCCTTCCTTCCTTCCTTCCTTCCTTCCTTC